CTAATCTCCAATATGAGAGTCTAAAAAAAAGAGAGGAAAAGGAGGAAAGGCAAGTCAGTATGTATCAAAGTTTACTTTACGGTATATGAAGAAAATCGAAAAATACCTGCAAGGCCGCACCGGCAACCTTCCGGGATAGTTCCCCGTCGCTAACCCCTTGTAACGTTTCACGCTCAGCGGCCGCACATAGCAGGGTCATATCCGTTGCGGCCTGCTCGCTGTGTTGCAATAGGTTATACTCTCCTGGGATCAGAATTCGGCGGTTAGATCTACCTGCCGTCATCTCCACACGTGCCGGACCCCGCGTTAACGCATCTGCATCCGCCTGGGTGGCCTTAGGGCCCACCCTCTCGGCATCATCACCTGCTTCTCCAACGGCAGCCGACGAGCCGCTCTCCGGAATGCGTGGTGGGCTGGCGTCGAGAACCGCCCCCCCTTGGGGAGCCGACCTCCCGGAACGGATGGCATCCGCCATAAAAACTGGCCTTGACTCCCGATGGGGCTCGCTCGCCCCCTCGTCTCCTGAGGCTATCCCCTTGCCGGTTATCAACCGACGTCTTTTCCTTTCTGGCGGCTCCTCGCTCTCAGAATTCTCCTCCACAGCCCGTGGGGATGGCATTGAAGGAGTCGCTCCCCTCATGGACGCCACCACGGGCAGCGGTTGAGGAACCCCCGCAGCGCCCTCACTAGGCGAACCACAGGGTATATACCCGTCTTCAGATTCAGTCCCGCCACAGATAAGGTGACGATGTTCTTTTTCTTCTTCTTAGGAGCGCTCCGACCTGCCAACACGAATAAGTCAGGAAACGAGAGCGTAGGGAATTCCCAAATCGTAGCCAAAGAATTACCTGACGGGCCGTACTGTTGAAGAAATGCAGCCCAGGTACGGCATTCCTCCGCATAAGGTATTATTCTTTCCACCCACGATTTAATGTCATCAATGAGCTGGGGTGGAGAAGCCCTCGCTGCGAATAAAAAAGGGAGAAAAGCAAAGAAATCACAATGGTCGTATGGTCAAAAGCGCAAGCAGCCCTGAATTCTACAAATAGAAATACTTACGTTCTGGATTCCATCTTTCCGGGAACCCTTCGGGATTCGACACCAGGTGCTCCGTCCTGATGTAGAAATACTTACGCCAAAACGGCGGTTGGGCTTATCATCGGCTTTAACAACTAAGCCCCTTGTGCCCCGACCTTTTAACTGCAGCATGGTACCCCTCAGGTAACCAGCGCTGAATAACTGTAAGAGGTGGTGGACCGAGACGCTGCATTCAGCCCTGGCCGCATAAGTGGTCATAATACGGCACACCTTCAAGGTATAAGGAGTGAGCTGGGCCGGACACACATTATAAAAACGGCAAAGCTCCTCCATCAGAGGGTAGATTGGAAGATTGTAACCGATCAAGAACGGGTACTCATAGAATGTGCAATATCCAGGCCGGTGCACATTGGCATAGTCCGTCCCGGCCGGAACCATTTCCACGTGGTCCGGAATATGGTGCGTCTCTCGAAGATCATCTAAATGAGATTGTAATAAAACGCTGTGCTCCCAGGGAAGGTCAGGGCTTTTAGTTGGAAAATCCCTGCGAACATGCGTCTCCTTCGGAAGGACGTTGTCTACGCTGAGAGGAACAAGGGCCTTCTCCGCCTTTTCCCCTTCACTACCGGAAGATGGCGGAACCCTAGACGGGGCATTATCTTTGGCCTTTTTACTACTCTGTCCGCGTTTTGTCATGACTATACTACTTAAGAAATGAAGCACTGACGATAGGAAGTGTGGTTTCAACAGAAGTGGGAGAGTCCCTCACAAAATAACGGTTACAGTAAAGAAAGACAAAGGGGTATATCAGAAAATGCTTTCCGAAGGATTGAAAGTGGAATCAAATCGAACCTCTCTCATACTTATAGGGATAAGTTGCACAGGAATCGAAGAGTCATGATTCAAGACGTGCGCCGGAAACCAAAATGTCACATCATCCTCTGAACCGCCTCGGGGGCAAATATAATAATGATGCATACAGGCGATGACGTCATTCCAAAAAGGAAGCCGCGCGTCAGTGGCTCAACAACGTCATATATTTCACTTCATTCGTATTGCCGCCCCGGGTCGAGGTCAAATTCTCCTAAGCCGAGGTTCACGTTTCCGCCCATCGAAGACGCCCACCGAATGCGTCTCCAACGAGCGGAGGGACTAACTGTATAGGGTCAAATTTGACCTTCAGCATCTCTACGCCAGTGGGTACGCCCAATGAGTGTACGCCTACCAACGTAGCGGGTATGACTCGGCCGTGGGGGCAAAAGCGACATCGTTTAGGACTCAGTGTCTTCACTAGGGAGACGTTACCTATCTTTGTAACTTTTTGATTCTTTCGAGGAAGGTCTCCTATTATATAAAGGAGACCTTCACATTGTAAAAGGGATCATCTGATTTAATACAACTCTCTCATTTTTCTGGCTTTCTCTCTCTATCTCTAGTTCAAACAAACGTATCTTATTGAGTTCATACTGTCTCTTTGCAATACTAGATCTACAACAATATTTTCATCTTTGCATCTCTAGGATTATTATATTTGATTACGATTTACCCTTTTCCTACTTTTGATTGTTTTTTAGCTTACAAAGTATATTGTTAACTTTTGAGCCAAACAGTTTAGTTGGTTAATTAGTTAGTTAGTACACAGTAGCTTAACTGTAGCTTAGTTGTCAGGGTAGTTGAAGTTAGTTAGTGGGACTGTATCCACATGTATATATACATCCCTTTGGGATATCAGAAATAACACAATTCATTCTCTCATCTTTGAGTATCAAGTCTCCTTCTCTCTTAGCTCATGTGAAGGTTCTGGAGTCCATCAATGGAGTCTTTGATCGAGAGTGAAATTGGTTGTCCAATTGCATAAATGACATGGTATCAAAGCAGAGGAACTTCCGATTCAATCGTTCTTGACATCTCCTAGCTCAAATAACTTGAGCAGTGTTCTTCGATCTGCACTAATTCTCGATCGATCTGTACGGTGTGAGCTTCATCTCATATTCAATTTTATTTCCCAAATTCTGCTCTTATTTTTTACTCTGTATATCTTCAAATTTTAATATGGCTGTTGTCGATCAAACCGATGCAACTGGTACTACCACAGATGTTGAAATTGTAGCCAATCATGTGTCGGATCCCAGCGATCCTCTCTACTTACAGCCATCGGACAATCTTGGAGCTATGCTAGTTAGTGTAGCTTTCAGTGGAATTAGATATAGATCTTGGAAACGTGCAGTTTTGCGTGGTCTTTATACTAAAAACAAAACTTGTTTCATTAGCGGAGAATGTATAAGTTTTTTACCATGTGTAAAACCTATATCTTTTGTACTGATGATTATATTTTAGTAATGATGATTATATGAGTTGATATATAAATAGTAATGATTATATATATATCTTTTGTACTTGCACTTTTAGTTTATTTTAGTAATGATGATTATATGAGTTGAGCTAAATGAAAAAAATAAGGATTCGTATCGCTGATCCCAACTTATTTGGGACTTAGGCGTATTTAAGATTTCTTTGAAACTCTATAAGCATCTCCAAAATTTTAATTGGTCCTAATAAAATTTATCTACTTTCTTTTGTTCAAGGGGATAATTACTACTTTGTTTTCCTTTTAATTTAAATTACTCACATGTAGAAGAATATCCTTGTAGGAATTAACTTGAGTTTAAAGATTAAAAATGTCATTTTATTTTCTAGTGCATTTTGCTAATTCTATGTTTAACTTCGAAGCTTCCCACTTTTAAAAATAGATAGATCCTTTCTTTTATATATATATATATNATAAGAAATAGCCAACCAATCCATACACATTATAACATTAAGTTCTACCCAACCGAGCACCACATACCTTATCTTTGTTTATTATCAAACTTATCACGGGCCATTATGGGCCACACACACACACACACACACACACACATATATATATATATATATATATATATATATATTAGGAAATTTTACTTATTATTGTACCTTGAATATCCTTCCAACTAAGAAAGGAGAAGTGCTATTTGAAGTCAATAGCTTTTGCACGTATCCATCACTAGTGAAACATTCCCCTCTCACTCAACGTCCTTTACCAATTTATCTAAAGCCCTAAATCTTTTTTTCTACTAATTACTGCACCATTCACTTTTTCTCACCTTTGATTCCATCACCATGGCTATGCAATATGCTGATGTTGTATTTTTTTGTGCAACTGTTTTGGATGAAAATCTAATTTCAAAATTGATGATTGAGTTATCACAAAGCCGTTTTTATGTCACTCTGCTCACACATCCACTGCTCCTTAGGTATCTATTTTTCAATTTGCAGGAATTGGGTTCCATTTTTTTGTGCAATTTTTTTGTTGTTGTTGTTGCTTTCTAATGCTTTTGTTGCTGCCGCTATAGTCTTTGTCACTAATGTTAGTGTGGCTCCTCTTTCAGGCCTTGCTCCTTGGTTTCTCTCCAGGTTTCTCTATGTTTCTCTGCTCATTCTTCTGGCCTCCACTTTAGGTTGTCCTATTATGTTTCCCAATTTTTAGCTGACTTTGTTGCTCTCCATTATGTTGAGTTTTCTCTCCATCTTTCTTTCATTTGAACCTATTTGTTGGTAACGATTAACGAGAATATTGTTGGTGTATATTGAGTAGTTTTTTTTTACTCTTTTGAATAATTTTTGTGCTGGAATTTTTTACTTAAATGTCATAATTTGCCCATGTATGTTTGTAAGCAATAGATACGTGAGTGCATGTAAGTGTGTGTGTTTGATCTTGATAAATACAAAATTTCTATTCTAATTATTGGATAATTAAAGCTAGGTCATTCCCCTCTTTAAATTTTGAAATTTTGTAACAGATTTAGGAAATGAATTTTAGTCTTGTTCTGTTCTTTTTCACTTTTTTGATCGTTCAAGTTGCTTGCTTTTGAAGGTGAGCACCAGGTGCTATATTTTCTAACTAGATGGTTTTTTATTTATTTTATTTTTTTTATAATTTTAGTGGGTTGATCCAAAATAATGATGCATGTGAAAAGCAAGGCGAGCCAGGTGAACTAACTATTTTGTAATCTAGAACAGGCTAAATATGAGTATATGTGGATTACCTTCTACACAAATTATTGTTTAGAAAGAATACATTGATAGTCAAATTAATTGGTCTAGACTAACATGTAGTTAATTTTAATCAAAAGATTATAGAAGTATTCAAATTGCCAAAGCTTAAATGAGCTTTAAATTGTACTTTCGAACACTCTTATATCGAAACAAAAAGAGAGCGCACTGATTTGGCTTCATAGGATGCATAGATTCATTTTGGATTAGCCAACCAAAGGAGATTTTTGGACCATCTTGATAGGGAGTTGGCAAAGAATCTGGATATATTTAGAGTGCCGAGTTCATTGTAGAAGTTAAAAGCTCATGTTTGACATATTTGGCTTTGGAATTTTCAACATTTTATATATGTTATTCAATGGCACAAAGATACTCCATCCATTGTTGTCACTGTTCTTCTGAATTTTGGTATCCGATTATTCCAATTCCTTATGTATAGCCAGAGTAGCTGCTGTATTTTTCTAGCCGATATGCTTTTGTTTTGGTTCCAGCTGGGGGCATGACGCAACTGGGTAAGAAGTTAATCTGTGAAATTACTGTTGCACTAAAGATATAAACTAGAAAAGACCTTTTTCCTTCAAGCGGCCACCATAATAAAATGGAAAGCTAAAATTAAGACAAGTTTTGGGACAATAAACAGAGGAGTAACGTTTTCATAGAAAGTGCAATTGAGAAGTATAATGCTTGAACAGTTTATAAGAATTTGAGCCGGAGATGATATAGTATTTTAATTTATGCATGTTTATACATTAGAATGTCCTGCAGCTAATGCAAGATTAATTAATCTACTGTGCAACTCTTTCCTATGTCTTTTTATGAAGAGACTTATGTTATGTTATATCTCACCTTTGCAAAGAAAATACAAAATAAAAATAAAAATGAGAAAACGAAGAGGGAAAGAAGATTAGATTTATTTCTCACAAAAATAAGTTTAGCATTCGAAATATTAAAATGAGGAGCTATAGTTTAAATATAATATATTTCTTCACTCGGAATTTTTTTTTTGCTATCCCAGACTTGGTTGATTCGATTCCTTTACACCACATGTGGAACATATATTATTGAGGAAAGAGCTGATCTCTAGACTTGTAACTATAATTTGATAGCGATGAGACAAATAAATTAAAGCACTAAAGCAAGCACATCCAACAATGGTTGTTCCAAGAAATTACATGCAGAGAGTCAGGCCTTACCATCGTAATGATTAATATAAATACGTGAAAAATGTGTTGAGGGATCGAAAGGTACCATGATAAATAGTCATAGAATTGGCTATTTGAAGTGATAAAGGAGAAGCTTCAAGTCCTCCATGACCATGGCAAGTCCTTTTCCCGGGTTTACCTCAGAAATTTTAACTTACATACTAAGAAAAACGAAAGCAAGTTGAAGCTATTCAACATGGGAGCACACCTATAATACATACTTTTTATATATTAAAAGATCGCATTATTTGAATGCAAGAATATTTCCCACTTATAAATATACATAAACTTGATAATCCTTGTGCATTCATGTAGTGAACTAACAGAAGAACAAACCAAACTATCAAAAAGATAATTAACCAAGTAAATTAGTCACTATGGCAAGATGAATTCATCACTTGTACTTTCAGTCACTATATCCAAATGAAATACAAAGTTAAAGTATAGCTCAATAGTATCGGTGATTCAGTACCTAGCTGCCGGAACTCTAGCTTGCAGCATTAATAGATAATAAAAGTAATTAGGCTTAAACTATGAGAAGACTAATACAGTTTTCCAGATTAAATGTCACATCATCTTTTGAACAAAAACTCATTTTAAGGATGGATTCCAAATGGCAATGAAGCTTAAACATTTTAAAACATATGCAAAGCGAGACATAGAAAAAATATAGGAAAAGGGAGAAAATGATATTAAATAATTATCTTAGTACTCACTTATGGAATAAGTGAGATGAAATAATGATGGTTGGAGAGGATATATGTTTAAGTTCAAGACACAGTTAACAATATTTGAATTCTTTCTGCTTAAGTAGTTATTAGACTTGAAAAAACAAAATAAGGACAAAGCAGTACAACCATTAGAGTGAATTTCATCCAAATAAAACTTTATGTTATAATAGGAATTAGATGAATGGTAAATTTAATTGTACCATATCTATAGTTAATGTATCATATAAGATTCGATTATGCATACGACAAATTGAGGCATCCTAGTTCAGTTCATATTGCCAGCAAAGAGAAAAGTTAAGACACCCACATTTGTCTATGAAAAGCCATAAAAAAAACTTAAATTAAGATAAATAAAAGGGACACATCTATACAACAACAAAAAAAGTAAGGCTTATTTTATCCTTGATTTTCGCGATTTGATAATCTTGGGAAGATTCGATTTTTGAAGGATAGAACTAAAAAGATTAGAAACCTTAGTGGGCACCATGTCGATACAAAAGCAAAATTAGAAGAAAGATAAGTCAGTTAAAAAATTGAATATAGAGGTGAAATGTTTTAAAAGTTTGTATCCATTGTTAAAGGTGTAGTTTTTACCCTAGAATAACTGCTCAATAAACTAAACAAAAGCAGAACACTGAAATTATTTTTTCAAAAAAGGGATCTAAAATTGAAAGGGTGTGAAAAGAATGTGCAATGTATCTGAAGGACGACTTAGAAATATGAGAATCTGAAATCAACCCTTTCTCCTGGTTTGGCCTGCTTGATATTCTACCGCTGGAACTTGAACATTCTTTGTCACATAGCCTCCTTACACGTGAATTGATCCCACGAACATAATTTACATGTATAGAGAATAAGAATTAGCAGAATTAGCCATTTCAAACCTCTACTTGTGGAATATAGCAAGAAAGGCTGATGACCTATGGGTGAAATGGATCAACCACATCTACTTAAAAGACTGCTCTTGGTGGCAATATAAGCCTCCTAATGACTGTTGCTGGTACTGGAAGAAGGTATGTTCAGTGAGAGACAAATATGTAATGGGATATGTGGACCAAGGATGGTTACAGAAAGATGGCAAGTATAGTATCAAAAGTGGATACATATGGAGGCTAGGAAGAACAGAAAAATGGCCTTGGAGCAGGTGGATATGGAACAAAAGGAATATACCTAAACACAGTTTTATATGTTGGTTGGCTGGACATGGCAGATTGCTAACAAGAATGAGAATGCGGAAAATGGGAATAACACAGGACACAATGTGCACAATATGTGACCGTGCACCTGAGACAGTTGAACACTTGTTCTTTGAATGCCAATTTTCTAAAGAATGCATGAAGATCATTGTCAACTGGCTAAGCATTGGAATACAGAACTTCACCTTGCAAGGTATCTGGAGAAGACTAACAAGAGGCATCAAAGGGGAAGAATGCAGGAACCAGATGAATGCAATACTAGTAGCACTGATATACTACATATGGAAGGCAAGAAATGAAGCACTATGGCATCAAAGAGTACCTAAACCTGGGAAAGTATGTGCACAAGTTCAACAGGAATGCAGGCTAAGATTGGAGAATAATGACAGGAAGGAAGGAAGGAAGTAGTAGAGATAGAAAATGGATAGATGACTTGTATAGGAAAAAGATATAGAACAAACAAAAGAGGATAAGAATAGAGGGATAGATAGAATACTCAAAATGAGATTGTATAGACATCAAATGTAATCAGTTGGTTGAGATTATTAATAATATTTTTTCTTTTACAAAAAAAAAACCTCTACTTGTAAATGACGAAAGGAAAATCTTAAAGCAAATATCATGTTGCAAGAAAAAAGAGAAGAATTGGAAATTGGAATACAGAGAAAGAGGATAGAAATGAAATAGACCGAAGAAGAAAGAATGGACCAAATGGGCTTTCATGCCCCTAATAATCCAGTTTAAGACCTTAATCATTATTGGGAATGGTTGTTTGTATGTTTCTCTTTTAACACCTGGTAATGGGAAATTCTCTGATCCTTACCTTTTTTTTTTGTATAGCTCCTTGGTGAGAGTCCCTCTTTTTTGAGTACTCTATCGATTGATTCCTGGACACTCCAGTAGCCTGCAATAGGTCTGTTTCCTTATCTGACTCATCTTCTGTTATTTCCTTTAAAGATTCCTCCTCCTCTATACAAGTCTCATCTGGGCATTCATCTGGCTCACTCAGGGGTGTACCCTGTATCTCAGTTTCTTTGCTTGTTTCCCCTATGTCTGCTACTTTCTGCTTCTGGGGATCATCCTCATTCATTAACTATTAAACTTGTTGAAAGTAATTTCTTCTTTCTCTATTATAGGGGTATGCTTCTTTGTCCTCGAGTTGTTTTGTTTCTGGGTCCTCCACTGCATCTCTTCCTCTTTTCCTTTCTCAAGTATCTTGGAATAGCAAAATTTGAAGTTCTTTAGGTTCCTTAATAAGAATGTCTTTCCTTCCTCCTCCTATAAGCAAATTTTCTTGTGCTATTTCATTAATAAAAAAAATATTACTGGGGTGTGTTTGTTGAGGTACTATTAACTCCCTGTCCCTTCTCCATAGTTGATTCCATCTGTCCTGAGGTTGGTTTCATTGCCTTCCTAGTGCTGGTGCCTTTAGCATTAGAGGTGGTTTATCCATACCAAAAATAGCACATGTTGGTTTGTAAGCTTGTTTAGGAGGTGCACTCCGGCCTCTTTTAGAAATATTATTATTGCTTCTTTTGACCATCTTTGACAGACTCGTCACTAACTGATCCAATAAAATCACT